CAGCTGATATCATTCCATCAGGTCCCAGTCAGGCTGAGACGCCCCCCGAGAGAGCTTTACAGATATCATTCCATCCGGCCTCAGTTTTCCGAGGCACTCTCTCGACTAATGGGTCAGAGGCTAATGCAGGGGGGGTGGTCTAAGAATCGGCTGTAAGGCGACAATGGCCGTCATTAATACTGTTTGATGATTCAGAAGGCCTTTGAGGGAACTAGGCCTTAAAGCCTTAATTAGGAGCATCAGTTCAGGGGATGTGCTGGTTAGAAGTGAGTTCAAGTGTGAAGTGATCACTTTTTACTATCCTTACACATTACCTCCAGGAAAAAGACTGGGAATATATCTAATAGGGTTTTTCTTTTCCTTTCCCTTCCTCTTCTTTTGTTTTTCCTCCCTCCCTTCTTTCCTTCCTTCCTTCCTTCCTTCCTTCCTTCCTTCCTTCCTTCCTCCCTCCTTCCCTCCCTCCCTCCCTTCCTTCTTTCCTTCCTTTCTTCCTTCACTTCTCTCCTCCTCCTCTCCCTCCTCCTTCTTTTTTTTTTTTGTAATTAAATAACCCAAAAGCCTCTCGTGAGCATTTGGGGGATTAACATACAATTGCCTTGGGTCTCAATTGATCCCGCTCAGAATAGGAATCCCGCTCACACAGTCCCTGAACGTTCCCTTTCCAAGCCACAGCCCTGAGGAGGTGGGGGCCTAGGCCTGCGGAGTCCACACGTGTGTGCCAAGATGTCTGCAGGTGATGACAAGGAAGAGGGCCTCCTCGTAAGACCTGCTGTTTCTTTTAAACGCCTGCAGCTATTCCTGTTCCCGGGGGAGAATGCACAGAACGAAGCTACCTTGTACCACCAGAAGCACATGGCCATGACTCTCCTGGCCTCCTTTTTCTATTCTGCGCACCTGCCCGAGCGCCTGGCCCCTGGGTGCTTCGACTACATTGGTGAGTGTGCAGCGGCCCTGCTGCCCTTGCCCGCCCCCCTGGGGAGGGTGCCGTCCCTGACACCAGTGATGCAGCTGGAGAGGGAGGCAGGGGCAGGGAGAGAAGCAGCTTTTCAGGAAGTTCTCCAGGGAGGCCAAGGTGAGTGAAATTGTGAGTTCACCCAGGCAGGAAGTATGTAGCCAGCCAACAGCTAGGGAGGATGGGAGACAGTGGAGAGCCTGTGGGTCTAAGATTCTAAAGCATTCCTATGGGGTATGGGACCAGGGGAGTCCCATTATTACCTAGAACATGAAACCCATTATTAAATGACCTTTGAGAGCAGCCCTGGAGAAGAAGAGAAAAGACAGAGTGCACATGGCTCTGAGGGTACCACACAGCAGAGCTGAGCGGAGGAGAGGAACATGTCTGCCTTCGTCTTGTTCAGGCAGGTGTAATGGGGCTAGGAGTCATGGTAGAGCAGTGGTTCTCAGGTGTGGTCTTCAGACCAGTAGTCTCAACATCATCTGGGAACATGCAGATTCTTGGGCCCAGACATCCCAGACCAGAAACGTGGGGGATGGGGCCCAGCACTCACTCAGAGGCTGTGTGATTCTCCAGGTGAGCCTGAGATCACGAAAGTTAGAGAAGTGATGGGGTGGAGAGGAGGTGTCAGAGCCACAGGGTTTATGCCTGCTGGTAGAGAGAGAGAGCCTTCTCTCTCTGTCCAGAAAAGTGGGGCAGGCACTGCAAAACGTGTCTCCCTCCCTGGCTCAGGGACTGGCTGAAAAAGGGACACTTGGGACACTTCTGGTGAGGCTGGTATGTGCTTGGGATGAGAGCTCCTTAGATAAGTTATCATGGTGATTCAAGGGGCCATCCTGTCCCCATGGGGTGGGCAGGAAACTTGGTTCTCCCCATGCCCATTTTGTTCATGCTTTTCTGTCTCCTCCCACCTAAGTCACATGGCCATTTGCTTTGTTCATTCTGATTAGAGTTTCATCTCCTTTACTTATTCTCTCCTGCTGGAGGAATTACAAGCAAAATGCTAATAGGGCAGATTTCAAAAAAGGAGAGAGCCAAGAGGGCCAGGGAAATGGTACCTGCTTATAGGAAACTGCCGACCGCATCCATCTCCCCAGCCCCAGCTGGATGAAATAGAGGTGGTTGTGGATGAAGTCTGGGGCCTACAGGAAAAATAGCCCTGGGCCTTGTTTTACCAACTCCCTGGCTTCTTAATAACATGGGGTTATTTTTTTACCTTTATCCTGTCCTTTAGGGCCTAGAGATACAAAGCAGAAAGACACCTTTATGGGTAGAAATTTGCCAGACAGCAGTTAATGACAGATCGTTAAAAAGGGGTTTGGAGAGTTTTCTGTCCTTAAATCACTGTGTCGCCAGATATCGGACTCCCTCTCCAACATCCCAAGTGGGAAGTGCTGGACCGCTTTGGTTAACGTTGGCCCACAGGAAGCTCCTCCCTATTCCTGTCAGGCAGGATTGTTGAAACCACTCTTCCTGCTGCAGCCACATTTCAGATATGTTCAGTGCTCATGGCTCTAGTGTCTTTCTATCTCCTGTCCTAATGGAGACCAGTTTGAGCCTCCGCTGGTGAGTGCACCTAGTCACCTCTTTCTGTTTGGGCCTGTGTCCTTGGAGAGCACAGCTCTCTGCTGGGCCAGAAGCCACTTTGCTGCATCACACACAGATTTGGAAATAGTACACAGCCCATTGGGATGATGTGAGTGAGGCAGGGGTGGCAGCTTTAAGCACACCTTCTTCCTGGGGGGACCCAGCCTGGGGTGCTGGCAGCTCCCTACCAGAAGGAACTCATCAGCCACCCATTTGAGAAGCCCCAACTCTCCTATACTCTCATCCCCTACTCTGCTCATGCACAGCGGTGCAGGTGGCCAGTCTGGCCCCTTCCTGGGATACAGTCATTGAATACTTACATTGAGATATGTCCTGGAGTATAACACTGACTCTTTTTGTTTTTGTTTTGGTTTTGGTTTGGTTTGGTTTTTTTACTGAAGGAGAATCCTCATTTAACTCCTGTGTTGCATTAGTCTGCTAGGGTTGCCATAATAAAGAACCATAGACTGGATGGCTTAAACAACAGAAATTTATTTTCTCACAGTTCTGAAGGTTAGAAGTCTGAAAACCTGGGGTCAGCAGGGTTGGTTTCTTCAGAGTCCTCCCTCCTTAGCTTGTAGAAAGCAGTCTTCTCCCTCTCTTATCACATGGTCTTCCCTCTGTTTATGGACATGTCTGTGTCCTAATCTACTCTACTTATATGAACACCAATCCTACGGGCCCCACCATAGTGACCTCATTTTAATTTACTTATCTCTTAAAGACCCCATCTCCAAATATGGTCACATTCTGAGGTATTAGGGATTAGGACCGCAACATATAAATTTGGAAGAGGGAGACACATTCAGCCCATGACACATATGGTCTTCTCATCTTACTCCTGGTTTCTGAGGGTTGTCCCCCAAAGCAGTCCCTGGCCCTGGGCAATGGACTCCTTTTCTTTCCAGCCAGCGAATGTGCATATCCCTGCCTACTCCCAGCACCCTCTGTGGATGTGTACCTGTGAACTGGGGTCCCGCAGGTCATGGGAGGAAGAGCTCCTTGTCATGTCTGGATTAACCAGCAGGACAGTAAGTGGCCAAGAGAGACTTTGTCTGGCTTCTCCTTCGGCACTGAAATCAGAATCTAAGCTCATTAGTGCTGGCTCTTAAGAGATGACCTTTGGCAGCACATGATGCCTAACTTTTTCACAGGAAAAGCAGCACTGGTGGATTTGCTTTTCTCTGATGGCCTTATAATTTTTCTCACGTTATATTTTAAAAATAAATTTATTGAAGCATATTTTACATATCACATAATTCCCTAATTTCAATTATACAACTTAATGATATTTTTAGTAAGTTTACTAAGGTATACAGCATTCGCCATAACTGAAGTTTAGAACATGTTTATCACCCCAGTGAGATCGCTCATGCCCATGCACTATTCATCTCCTCTCCCACCCCCTGCCCAAGGCAACCGCTACTCTCCATTTTGTCTCTATAGATTTGCCTTTTCTGGATATGTGATATGAATGAAATTATACAGTATGTGTCTCTTGGTCTGGCGTCTTTCACTCAGCATGATGTTTTTAGCACACGTGCCATAGCATGTATCATCTCTCTTTTATTGCTGATCTCAGTGGCCTTTTGTATGCTTGCTATAGGTCACAGCCACCAGCTGTTCCATGTGTGTGTGATCCTGGCCACGCACATGCAGATGGAAGCCATACTCCTGGACAAGAATCTGAGGAAGGAATGGATCCTGGCCAACTCTAGGACCCTGTCTTTCCCTCAGATAGCCGGAGCCATACTTCTGTGTCTCATCTTCAGCCTCAGCAACATAATTTATTTCTCAGCTGCTCTGTATCGGATTCCCGAGCCAGAATTACATAAAAAAGAAACATGATTTGGACCATGAGCTTTTTGTGCCAGATATCAACATTAAGCTGTAACATTCTAACCATCATAAGCCGGTGGCGTGTTACTGGTTTACAGTGGCCTAAAATGTTCAGAATGATTGGTTCCTGGCATTTTTAGTGGGTTCATATCAATAAGGTATTTAACTGGGGAAAATTTTCTAGATGTGCACTGATTCTGTATGTGTGATTTTAAAAGGGGAACATTGGTTCAAGTAAGTCCTCGTTCAGGCAAATCATTAATATTTCATTAAGTTTTAAATTTATTTAAAATGAGTTTTCAATTCTATTTAAAGAGTTGGATTAAGCATATTACTTTTGTACCTTTACTATTAAACAGTTGGATTAAGCTTTACTACCCTTGTAGTATTACTCTTTAAAAATGGAACTTGCTTCATTTAATGAGTTTTATGTAACAAAGCCTCTCCTAAGAGTTCCCACAGTGGAAGGAGAATGAGTCAGAAATGTCAGTGGTGGGGGGACCTGAGAAAGAGGAAGTTTGGTCTATGGGAGGCCTGGGACCAGGAAGGCATTCCAGAATGAAGAGACCTGGTTTGGGCAGGGTCCTCTTTCTTTTACCACCTAGTAAAGGAAACGAATTTAAAGAGAGTCCTCTTTTCCCACAAGTCCATTCTGCTTCGGAGTGCAAATTGTCACATCTATGGGATTTGGATTTGGACTATGGATTTGGATTTTCTTAAAAGTCCACAGCCTATGGCTGGGTATCATGTATTCTATTTTGCTGTTTTCTTGTTGCCAGTTTGATGCTGCAAAGTATTATGCAGGGCTGGTAAAATGTGTCACACCGTGGGAGTTTGCTAAATTAATCCCTGTTGGTTGTGCTAAGTTGTCACCTTTTAAATCAATGACATCACTCTTTTTAGGGATGCCATACATGTGATGTTGCTTCAGCATTTCAAATATGCTGCAACTTTTAGTATTCAAATGCAGAGGATGCTAAAGACCTTGCCAAAGGATTTGTCAAAAGTAGTAATTTTTCCAGCTTTACTGTGAATCAAACACTTGGTAAGCTTGTGACAAATGCAGATTCCCAGAGAAACCAGGAGATTGTGCTTTACAAGTATAAAAATGTGGGTGTCCTAGAGGAGGTCTGCACTGCAGCGAGTCCCCAGGTTATTCTAGTGCAGAAGGGTCACAGGCCAAACTTTAAGAAATGCTGGTGTCAGGAATTCCAGAAGGCACTGGGCTTACCAGCTTTGTTTTCATTGATGTAATGTTCAGCAACTCACCTCCTAAGGACACGTCCCCCGCTTTCTATTCTGCATGGTACTAAAACACTGAGCATTTTCTCACCTGTTGCATTATTAATTAAAGTTCAGTATTTCATGGTGTTTTCAGAGCATACAGAAATGCTGACGCAAAACAGTTTTTAACAGAGGCTCATCAACCCCTGGTCTGCACTTGCTAATGACTTAAGGGGCCATTCACAATGCAGGATCCTCTTTGCTGACTCAGGAACACCCCTATATCTTAGAAGACTGCTTCTGTGGTTAACTGGCCCACACGCTTGAATAGCTTTGTACATAGCTCATCATCCAATCCTCTGAGGACAAGTAACATTGATATTGGATGAAAGTGGTCAAGAAATATTATTTCATTAGTTTTATTACCTGTTTACTTCCTCTGGGAAAGGTAGACTGATAAAATTATATGGACTCGTAAATTTTGGGTACATTCATTACAAGCTACACGACAAAATTTGTTCTTTAGCAACAACCTGATGTCATTAGTAGAATTGTACTCCAGCAGGGTCTGGTGGGCTTCTACGTCATCTTACTGTAACTTCAATTTTATAGTGAAAAAAAAGGTACAATGTTTAAATACACTATTTTAGTAATGCCAAAGACATGAAGGCTTTCAAATACTCTTGTTTATAACAGTAAAATAATATTCTTTGATCAGCTCAGAAATAATTGGAAGATTAATGAGTGATTAATTTGAAGGACTTTTAGATAATTTAACCTTTAGTTATGTTGCTTTTTCGCCATGCTTAATGATGAAAATAAAATGTTAAGCCAACAAAATAAGACCAAGTGTTTTCATAGTGTTTGTATAAGTTTGGTAAACTTAGTCCCATTGTATACTTTTGGACAGTATTACAAATTAAAATTTTATAATAGTTTGTAGTACACTGATTTGCAAGTTTCTACTGTGGAGTGAGAATGGGTTTTAATAATCTATCAATTATCGTTAAATATTAAGTCTAATGTGGGTATAGTTTTGCCTAAGCCATCCCAGAAAGTCAAAAAGGTTGGCAGGGGGTCAGTTGAAGTTTTTTAATGTAGTTCTCAAAAAAATTTCAATATCTCAATATACTTTAGTGATGTGGCATATTCCCACTGGTGGCAATTGCTCACCCTCACGCTGTCTCAAAAGGGATTATGTGGAAGCAGGTAGACTCCTAGTGGGATATCCCTCTTCCCCCTCCGCCTGTTTGAGAAACACCACTCTAAAATTTATCAGACATTACAGTTGTGCTAAAACCTGAATGTGTTTGAATGAGGCCATTTCGTCAACTGTATCTCCCTTTACTCATTGTAGAGTTTCATTTTCCATTGCTCATTTTTTAGAGAACAACTCACCATCTTCTTTCTAAAGATATGAATTTGTCATTGTTGATTTGAATTAGAAGTGGGAAGTTTCTAAGCCTTTTGAGTACAAAGTGATTTAAATATTTGGTCTGCTGCAATCTTTCTCAAAGTGTTTTTTTGTGGAACCCTGTTCATCTGAGAAGTTCTGAGGAAGGCATGTGGAGTAGAATGGTATCTGTCAAATATGTTGGAGAAACACTTCATCTGCATCTACCGTGTCCCAGATTTGTTTTGGCCATGATACCCTTCTTATATGAAACACCTATTAATACTGTATAACAACATTTTATGACATGTTAGTTGAATGCCAGCCTCTGCTTTTGTAGTCAATAATCCATTATGGATGAAAAGGCAAAGACCCATTTCCAAACTCAGAGATGTTCTTTCAGTGTCTGGTTTTCTTAAACTGTGTGGGAGAAACAAATAAATAAAATTTATTTATTATAATACAGTTGTCCTGTTTTTCACTTGGTTTGGTTCTGTTTCACCTACCACACTGTGAACATGTTCATTCATCATGAGAAATAGGTTCCTGTACATGTGTGCATTGCTAAATCATTTGATGAATATTTATTTAGTGCTTGGTATATCTAGAACAAACATTGTCCTAGAAACTGGGGATACAAAAGTGAACAAAACCTACACTGTCCCTCCCTCATGGAGTTGATGTCAGACAAGATATATAGATAAATTCAGATAATGGTAAGTGCTATAAAGAAAATAAGCCTGGTGAAGGAATAAGGAAATGTGGGGTAGGGCAGGTGAGAGTGGATGGCCACTGTGATAAGCTGACATTTGAGGAGAGACTGGATGGGTGGAAAGGAGCCAGCTGTGCCAGCATGTAGGGGGAAGTGTTTCAGGTCAAGGTAGCAGTAAGTGCAAAGGCCCCAAGGTCAGTAGGTACTTGTCCTGTTGGAAGGCTGGAAATCTGACCACTCATTCCTGAAATGTATAACTCCAGAAGATGTCTGGATTACTTGACTTTTGAAAAATTCTGGAATTTCTCCCGAATGTTCTTCCTGGGAGATTGCCAAGGAGCTTTCCTACGCCCCTTGGTACTTGTATGAATGCTTCAACTCTGTAATAAACATAATTCAGACAAATAGAGAGTTGTCACATCCATTCTCGTCATCTCAACAACAGATTTCTAAAGTTGGCTGAACTTTTGCCTCCTCCAGCTCACGGAACAAGGGACCTCAAAGATAATTTAATCCAGCCTTTCAAAAATGTGTTTGATGATGTAGAAATCCAGTCTCAGGACTTCACAAATGAACAGATGCAGAATACCTGGGGCAGGGGCGTTCCTTAGAATTTTAAAGTTTTGTCAAAAGCCTAGGTGATTTTTAGTATGAGGAACTTTAAGAAGTGCTGATATAGTCCAACCTTTTTTAAAATGTAATTTCAGACTTAGAAAAATGTTGCCCCAAATAGTACAAAGAATCCCCTTCTCCCTTTCGATATTTATATACCTATTCTCTAACAGGGAAAAACTTGGGTCAGTTATCCACAATGTATTTACTTATTTGCTCAATCCTAGAATGTACACAATGTTATTTCAAAATTATTAACCCATGTCTGAAGAAAGCCTACTAATTAGAATTCAATATATGTTTCCAGTTATTTTTGTCTTGAGCTTGAGGGCATATAGTCTAAATAATCTTAATTACTTGAGTTAGTTATAGCCTCTTTTCTGTGTATGTTATTCATTTGAAATAAGGTTCAGATCATTTGTTTCTTTTTGTATCAATTTTATAGTTTCCCCCCAAGCTTGTTGATTTTATTCATTTTTTTATTTAAAACGTTAACATCCAATCATTCATTTTACAAATGGCCTGGAAATGTGAGACGATGTTTCCAAGGCCACTTCAGTGAACAGCAGGGCTGAGGAGAGACCTCTCTCCTTGGGTGTTGAATGTGTTGGGTGTCTCAGCTCCCATAGCAGTCATGTCTCCATTTTACCACCTTCCCTCAAACATTCTGGATTTCAATAGGTTCTGGTCATTGGTGTTTATTTGGTTCCCACAGCTGGACTTGCTTAGCTAGGTGCTTGAATTAATTATGGTTTCAAATCTGTGTGGTGTTAGCCCCTCAGTAATTTACATGAGAAATTCACAGTCCAGTTTGGCAGTTTCATAAAAAGTTAAACTTACACTTAGCACAATACCAGCAACCCTACCCAAGAGAAATGAAAACGCATGTCTACATAAAGATCTTTATAAAAATAATTATACCAGTTGCATTCATAATCGCCAAAAAGTGGAAACAACCTAAACGTCCATCAACTAATGAATGGATAAATTGTCATGTAGTCAGTCATACAATGGAATACTACTAAGCAATAAAAAGGGAACACCTTACTGGTACATGCAACACATGGATAAATCTCAAAACTATCATGCTGAGTTAAATAAGTGACATTTCTGGAAAAGATAAAACTCAAAGGAAGCCAGAAAAGTGGTTACCAAGGACTGGGAATAGAGGATGGTGACTACAAAGGGGCAGCACACAAGAATGATGGGAATATTATACATTTGATTGTGGCGGTGGTTACAGGATGTTTGTCAAATACATAGACGGTACAACTAAATGGTTAATTTTACTCAATAAAATTATACCTCAATAAACCTATTTTGTTTTTTGTTTTGTTTTTTTTAAAAGGCCTCCGAGTTCTACTCCCTCTCTCTCCTGCCCTTACCTCTAGTCTGGATCTCTAATTCTAATGGGAAAAGCAATCTTTTACTGGTTGTGGGGAGCCTTTGGAGGGAAGAGATTAGGATGTGTCAAATGTGAAGTGCCTGTGGGACACCCAGAGAAACAATATAATGAATTGACATTTTAAAGAAAATTAATAAGCCAGGGAGCTTAATATGAATAGAAGTGAGGGAAGAAGAAGAAACTGGCCTGAAGAGAAGCTGGGGGCGGTGCAATATAACTGGGTCATTGACTGGGGAGTTCTCTGAAGGGATGGATTCATTCATTCCTTCTAAAACCTTTATATAGTACCTCCATTGTTGGGCACTGGGGATGCAATAGTGCCATCTAGTGAGGTTGTGGGCATAAGCTGGAGAGGAAATGGATTACAAATTGGGATGTGAGCTCCAAAGCAAACCAACAGTTGCAGTGACTAGGGGAGTGCAGGGGGCTGTGGATATAGAGCAGGGTTCCAGCATCCAGAGCATCTCAGCAGATCTGCTGAGAACTGAGGATAAGGAGGGATTGTCTGAGAAAGGAGGGAGGAGAGCTTGACAGCAGAGGGAATGGTGTGTGAGCCCAGTGTGTGCAGGGCACTGAAGGTCTGTGCGGCTGGGGGACAGGGGAGCAGTGCAGGAGTTAATGATAGGTAATAAGCTTGGAGAGCAAGAGCCTTGGGACCTTGCCAAGGGTTTTTAGCAATGGGAAGCTACTGCAGTGTTATAAGCAGGGGCATGACATTATCAGATATGTGATTTAGAGGTGAGCTGGCTGCAAAATGGAGCCTGGATTGGAGGGTAGCAGCAGAGAGGTTTGTTAGGATACTGTTGCAGTCATCCAGATGAGAAATAGTAGTGACCAAGGGGATGGAGAGAAGTGGAGAGGTTTGAATGCTATTAGTACTGTCAAGATTTGGTGATTGAATGTTGGAGTAGAAGGGGAGGCAAAAGTCAAAGATGTTACTTTGGACTCTGGTTTGGGTTTCTGGGTAGATGGTGATGCCATCCACTGAGGAGGAGCAGGTTCAAGGGCAGAGATTAAGATGTGTTTGGTGTGAGATGCCTGTGGGACACCCAAGTGGAGAATCCATAAGGCAATTGGATATATGGGTCTGGAGCTCAGAAGAGCAAATGTGAATGGTATGTGAAACCACGGGCATGGTTGGAAGTGCCTGGGGAGCAGGCCCAGCTAGTGACCCAGTAAAAACCCTAAGTCACAATATTTAAGGGAGAAAAAAAGAACACACAAATGAGGCCAAGAAAGAGGGGCTAGAGAGCTAGGAGAAAAAACAAAGACACATGAAGAGCAGAACGGGACATGTTTTTGGTGCTGTTGAGAGGTCAAGTAAGATAAGGTGTGAAAGGGTCAATTAGATTCAGCATCAAGGAGGTGGTGATCTTGGTGAGAAGAGTTCTAATGGAGAGACAGAGGCCAAAGCCACACTGAAGAGTAACTAAGAGTTAAGTAGCCAGCAGCCAAGCCCAATTCCTAAATGATACAGATCCCAACTTCTCAACAAATAAAGTTCTAATGGTTCAAAGACGTAAACATAAAAAACAAAGGAATAAAAGCACTATAAAATACAAGATATTTTTTAAAAATTACTTCAGAGTGGGGAAGACTTTTCTTAGTGTGATACAAAACATAAAAGAAAAAACTGATAAATTTGACTAAGCTGTCACAAAACAACATAAAATAAAAACCAAATTATGAACTATAAAAATATTTGAACTCTAATTAGATGAGGTCCAATTTTTTAATATATGAAGAGCTTTTACAAATCAATAAGAAAAATGGACAACCCAATAAAACAAGAAGGCAAAGGCACAGTTCATAGAAAAGGAAACGCAAATGACTCTTAAATATATGAACAGACACCCAACCTCATTCATTATAAAAGATGATTTAAACCACATTGTGATTTTTTTTTCACCTATTAGATCAACTTTGTTTTCTGAGAATTGTGGAGAAACAGGTACTGTCTCATACATGGCTGGTGGGATTGTAAATTTGGACAACCTTTATAGAGGACAATTTGGCAATATCTGTGAAACATGAATGCATATACTCTGACTCAGCAATTCTGCTTCTAGGAACTCATCATCCAGATTTACTTGCATTGTGCAAAATTATTAATTCCAAGCTTATTCACTGTCACTGTGTAATAGCAAAGATAGGAACCATCTTTATGTCAAACTAAGGATATTAAAGTATGTCTATCCTTATTGGTGTCTGGTCCAGTAGGAAGTTGAGGAGATGTGACTAGAGTTCCATGAGAGCACAGATGTAGATGCTTTATTTGATAATCATCAATTTAGGGGCAAAATTCAAAGTTAAAATCAGTTCATCTTAGAAAAGAGTGGTTCTGGTCAAGGCAAGGACCAAATTTTATTCATCTCTGTATGCCCAGGATCAAACATTGCTAAGAATTTGATAAAACAATGAATCTACGGGAAAGAGCTGAAAAAAATCAGAGTGGGAAAACCCAGGAAATGTGAAGAAGAGAGAGAAAGGACGTCAAGATGATGTGATGACATTTGGAAGCCAGAAAGGGAGTCTGAGACTGCCCATCGCACAGCACAAGCATAGGACACTCATGGGCCGGAACGACAGTGTTGACTTATGAATCAATTCTGGATCTGCTACTCCATTGGGCTTCTTGCGCTGTAGGAAAATTAACCCTCAATTTCCTCATCGGAAATGTAAAGGGTTGTAGTTCATGTTGAGGTCCGGGTTCCAGCCCGGCGGCACTGACACCCAGAGTCCCCGCGCCTTTTCCGCGTCGGTCGCCTAGGAGACGAGGGCCACTTCCGGCAGAACAGACACTTCCTCAGAGGCCCCGCCCCTTCCCCAGGGCGTGCGCTGATTGGCCCGTTTGAAATGCGCCGGGCGCGAGCTCACCTGGGCTCGCCGCTGTGCCGCCGGGTTTCACCGAGCGGTGTCTCTCAGCTGCTGTGTCCCGGTTCCCACGGCTTGTCTTTGTGACTCGCTCTCCTTGCCAGCCAGCCCTCCTCATCCAGCCCGGGGTCTCGCGCGCGTATCTGGGCAGCGCGGAGCCTGCTGCCATGAAGCCAGCGTGAGTACGGGGCGGCGGAGCCGGGCCTCCATGCTGGGGCGGGCGTCTCCTCAAGCCGCCTCCCTCAGCGGGCCGCGCAGTCGGCACGGAGCCCCGCGCTGCTCCGGCCGCAGCCCCCAAAGTGGGAGTCCCCACGTGGACCGCTCAGGGGGAGCCACGGCGCCGAGACCCAGCCGGGTCGATCCCCGACCCCGAGCCCTGCGCCTGCCGTTCCGCTCTGGTCTCTCGCTGCCTGGGGAGGTTGGCCCCAAGTCGGGGGAGGTTTGTGCCACCACTCTGGTTCCCGTTAGCTGTGTTGCCTTTCACCTGGCTCCGGGCCGCCTCCGCCGACCTTTTAAGTTCTCCCTTTCCCTGTTGGCCGCCCGCATTGCTTGCATTTCTTAGCCCACTCCGTGGCCTGGAGGCCTTTGGGAAGGCCCTAGAGTAGACCATCCCGTTGTATAGACTGATTACTTTTGCCCTATTCTTTGGCCGCAGACGTATCCGCCCAACATTCCTCACTAAATCTGGGACATTTTCCGTGCAGCATAATTCCTTGACCTCTACTGCGTAAAGAAATAATTTTTTTACAGAAGAGGGTTGCCTGTAATTATAATCATCATGTAGCTACTCGTTTGCAAAAGGCAACTTGTTTTCTTAGGAGGCCAAAGTCAAAATCTTTTCTTTTTAAAAAAAGTGTTGAGTTGAAATAAACCTATGATAATATTTTGCACTTAAAACACTAATTTGCTTCCGTTACTATGGGAACATTTTGAGAAAATATTTTAATCTATAGTCCAAGCCAATAATTTCACATAATTTTAGTGTTAAATGTTCATCCAGCCTATATATAGGTAAAGTGGGGGTGGAGGTGGGAAGCATGCTAGAGAAATGGTGAAATAAATCACAATAATCTGTACCTACTGATAAAAAAAACAAAATTCAACTGAGTAAATTTTTTCAATCTTACTGCCTTTATTCAACAATTTATAAGTCTGGCAGCATCCCACTTAGCAACTAGAAAGATCTGAGGAGCTGTACAAAATAGGAGACTTTTAAAGGCAGAAAGGAGCAGGACCGAGCAAAGAGCCCATTGTTTCAGGCATGGGCACCCTCCTTTGGTGGGCCACAGGGGTCTGTGAGGTGGATTACCTCATTAGTGCTAACCAGGAAATTCCATACTGACTGGCTGAGATTACATTCCTGGGAAAGACTAAAACTGCAATTAGATTAGGTGTTAAATCTTGGTTTAGTGATGTGGATTTAGAGACTGATTCTATTTTGGGCCTATTCCCCTTTTTTGCACTACTTAAGAGAGCAAGAGGTTGCAGTTTGGGGACCACATTTTGTTTGGGGACAAAGGATGGTAGGTTTTGAGAATTCAATAACCTGTTCCTTGAAAGTGTAGACATAAATCTTAGTGAAAGGATGGACTCCTCCATCTGCATTCTTTATAATTTACTGAAGTTAATCACTTGTCAGTCTGCCTTGGCAATGGCTGTTGGTTCAGTGCGTGTACTTGTACACACATATTAATGTCTTTCAAGATAAGTGTGGTCAGTTATCTGTAGATTTTTCAAACTTGTAGTGCCTGTGTAAAATTGTTGCTCAAGAAAATATCCAAGCTATTTTAAGTATAAAGTGGGTACATTTAGTACCAGAAATGTCTCCTAAACCAAATTTTAATTTTGGATTATGCATGCCACAAACACTCTTATACTAATACAATTCTATTCATGTTAGTTATTTAGGGTGTAGTGTTTTGGAACTGCTGAGGAATAATTTTATAAAGCCTAGGAAGTTTGTCTCTGTGTGAATTATAGGTGAGGTTTTTGTATGTTAGTGTTGAAGTGAATTTTTTTTTTTAAATCTATGTCTAGGAGGACTAAGACGCCCAGAAAACTTGTAGTGAAAAAAGGATCCCAAACGAGTCTTAAAGATCCAGTTGGGGTAAGGTCTCCCTGTGAATTTATGTGTGTGTGTTTTCTCTTCATTCCTTTTATGTCTTATGTGTATACTTGGAAAGGATGGAGATGTGGAAGTAGAGTCAAAGAACATTTAGTTAAAAGGATTGTACTAAATTGCTTAAGGTTTTTCGCGCTTTGAAATTTTGTTTCTATGTAGGATTCATTAGTCTAGTAAAATTAAGTTTCTTGTTGTTGAGTGCATACTTCCTATAACTAATTATAATTTGAAAAATGAGATAATGAAAAATCTTCAACTGTCCCAGAGAATTCTTCATACTCTCTGAGATAGGGAGAAACTTTCTGCTTGGATGAGCATCCTTTCCCATCTTTAGGACTGTTAAACACTAACTGATGACACACTTCATGAGGAAAGCCCGAAACTCCATGCTTTTTTGGGGCCAAGTTTCATTAAGACTTTGTTGTAGAACAGTTTAATTCAGTCTAATAACTATTCATAATTGCATGTACTTCACTAGTTTCAGGCTTGGGAATTTGCTTTAAAAGCTAATGGCAAACCCAAAAAGGCTGGTTTGCTCTGGGATATTTTAAATCTCCCCTTCACTGGTACTGGAGTGTGTCTCTTGGTCTGAGTTGAGAGAACCAGATGCTTTGCACATATAGCTGAACAGTTTTTCCTCAACCCTGTCATTGATCAAGAAAACCACACTTAAACTCTTACACTTACTTATTTGTATATTGTGTTAAGCTGACAAGTTTTAATTGACATCCAGTTACAGAAAATTCTAACCGATTTTCAAATAATTCTCATTGTGATGTTATTGATTTTTAGAGAGATTTTATATTAGTAATAGTATAACTTTATTAAACGTATGCCCATAAAATAGTGAAGAGAAGCTATGGATTTGATGCTTTTGTTAACCAAAATTTATTTTAATTTTATGTGCATTTAAAATCTCATTATCTCTAAAATCTGTTTGTATTTGACAGTGTCAGGTAGCAGGTTTGGGTTTTCATAGCTCTAAGTTTATATTGATCTCTTAAATTAAGAGACCAAATATTTGTTGAATGAATGAATGAATGAATGGAAAGCTTAAATGGTAAGTCCGGTAAAAAGTCAACCTTTGTTCTTTAAGCACTTTCCTGTGCTTTCAGGTCTACTGTAGGGTGCGCCCACTGAGCTTTCCTGATCAAGAGTGTTGCATAGAAGTGATCAATAATACAACCGTTCAACTTCATACTCCTGAGGGTTACAAACTCAACCGAAATGGAGACTATAAGGAGGTACTTCTTATTGGAACCAAGCTGTTTTTAAATGATATATTCTTTCCTGAATGGCTTTTCCATTTTTGAAACTTAACAAAATTTATGTGTTTCCACTTTTTTGAAAGACATTTTACTGTAACCACCATATCTAAAGTATTTTTAATCCCTGGGATATTCAAACATACCTGCGGTATTCTGGAGTTAGAAGATTGCTTTTAGAGGATAATTTCTTGAACTGGGTATTTATTGCTTCTTAGAGCGTATGTTAGCGATAGCTTAATGTGGAATGATGTATTTAATTGTGCTAGGAAGTTTTTATATACACCACAAAATTTCATGTGTGGATATTAAATTAACATGTAGAGATTAAAACAGTAATTGTATACTTGTTCCTACCTCTTATGAAGTGTTTTTATTTTTAGTAAAATGTTGAGCAAAGTGAGTTCGATTCAGTTCAACAAACATGTTGGGCTAAACTGAAAGGTGGAAGGAGATTTTCAAAAATGAGTAAGACACAGTTCTTGCCTTTATGAAGCTTATAGCTGGGGGGCACAGATGGAAATAAGTAACCCTCATACAGGTAAGATGGAAACATAGGTGTGCTAAAAGAGATGACGGAATGCAGAAGAAAGGATTAATTCAGGCAGCGGTGTCTCCTTTCAAGATACCATTTACTCTTTTATGCACATTACTCCAGTGAAATTGCTCATCAAAAGCCCACCAGTGGTGTCTTTGCTGCTAAATTTGTTGGACACCTCTTTGTTGTCATTATAATCTTCTCAGGAGCACCCTCCTTCCTGAAGCACTCTCCTTCCTGTCCCACCTCCAGCTGTCCATGTTCTGTCTTTCATTGGCCACTCTTTGTAGGCTCCTCTTCCTTTTCCAACCTCTACCAAGTTGGGCTACACCCACAGCTGTCTTATCTATCTATACTTTTCCATGGCTTTAAATGTTGATTATAGGTAATCTGAAATTTTTATCTCCAGCCTAAATCTTTTCTCTAGCTCTAAACTCAAATGTCCACTGCTTGGATATCACACAAGCACCTCAAATTTTACATGTCCAAAGGAACTCTAGATTTTTTTCGACCTCTAAATCACTTTCTCCTTTATCTTATCCCTTACCACCATCTGCCTTTCAGCTCAAGTCAGAAATCTTGTTCCTACCTCTCTCTGGTGCCTTTCATATCCCATTAATCAGTAGGTCCTACCACTTCTCCTCCAATGTATATCTTGAAATTGTCCTTTCATTCCGTCTCCACTGCCACCACCTTCATTTGAGCCCTGTCACGGAGACCAGTGCTTCTCAAACTCTGGTGAAGGAACAGCTTTTCTCAATGCAGTGTGACTGATACTTTTGTGCAGCTTTGCCACATGGAACTAACCATGTCAGACAACAGAACTGATTTATAATTTGTTTAGTGAGATTAGCCCATTGATCACATCCTGGGATGTTGCAGCCATGTCAAATGGCTACAAAATTTTCTAAACATTTACTCTCAATTTCTGCAATTAATCTTCTGTTAGACTGGAAACAGACAGTTCCCAGAGGGGTACTGGTTTGCTGACCTTACTCTGAGCAGGGCTGATAAAGCCATGCTGAGGCCTAACTGGACTGCCTGCTTCCACTGGGATCTTCTCTAATCCATTTTCCACAGAGCAGCCAGAGTGACCTTTTAAAGCATAAATCAGATCTCACCATTTTCCTGTTTAAAAGCTTCCAAGAAATAAAGTTTTTAAATAGGCAAAATCCTGCTTAATCTGCCTCCTGTCTATCTGGCCACCTCATCTCTCAGCATTCATCCGGTCCTGGCTGGATTCCTTAGATAAACGAGAATTCTGCTCAGGGCTGTTCCCTGACCTGGACCTCTTTTCCCTTGGCCCTTAGCATGGATGGCGCCTCATCCTTAGGTTTCATCTTAAATATCATCTACTCGGAGAGTATATCCAGACTACCACATCAGAAGTGCACCCCTCCCCACCTTCCTACCTGATCTGCACTCCATAAACTTCCACCTACCACAATCTATAGATTCTTTGCTTGTTTATTGTCTCTTTCCCCTGGTATAATGTAAGCTTCAAGGGATAAGTACCTTCTCTGTCCTATTTGCCAAACACTCAATAAATGTGGATTAAGCATGAATGAGTCATCTGGGAAGTAGGCCTTTGAGGATGTCAAATAGTTGAAAAATGAGTTACTGAATTTTACTTTAATTAGAGTTAATTTTAAGTATACAGTAAAACCTTAGATTGCAAGTAACGTGGTTTACGAGTGTTCTGCAAGATGAGCAAACATTTATAAATACATTTTTAATGTGGTAAATGAGCGATGTCTTGCAATACAAGTAGTTTGTTTCTGGAACGAATTATGCTCGCAAACCAAGGTATTACTGTATATGTAAATAGTACAAAGAGGTTTGGTGAGGATTAAAAGTTCTGCCCTGTGACAGAAGGGAACACTGAATAATGGAAACAGTGTTGGACTGGAAATGGTTTTGATACCAATTAGCTCCATAGGCTTGGGGCAAGTTTCTCCTTTGCCTCAGTTTTCTTCACCTGGAAAGAAGGGATTTGTTCATGAGAACTTGGAGGTCATCTGACTAACATGTCAGCACTATCTTGTGTATATCCTTTCAGCTCTAAAATTCTTTGTTCTTTTTATGAATTCTAAAGCTTATTCACAGGATTGGGGGAAAAAACTTCCACAAACGTGAGAGTTAGCCTAGCTGAACATTGGTGTGTGATCTTTAACAAGTTGTAAAATGAGCACAATAATTAATAGTACCTACATCAGAGGTTGTAAGAGTGAAATGATTCACTACCATGCTAAGGCAGTGCATGGGACATGGTCAGTGCCAAGTGTCAGCTGTCGTGTACTAATCTATACATGTCTCCTTTTGGGAGACAAAATTGCTAATTTTAAAAACATAAGTGTCATGATATTGATATATGAGCAGGTTGAATCTAAGGTAAAGGGTGCAAAACAGAAAAAAGGGAGCCATTTAATAAAGGCTATATATAATCCATAATAAATTCTAGTGAATAATCAGGTACCAAATAACTTAGCACTGACATTCATGAAGCAAAAACTGCAAGAAATTGAGGAAACCTGAAGAAAAAATTGCAATGTCTGCAATCCAATAAAACTAGAAAATAACAAAAGTAAAAATAATAGAACTCGAGCCCATGGCAGCTAAGACATTATAATTCACATAATTTATACCCCAATCTCCAATCTAATTTTTAAAAGAGTTTGGTAATATTTTTAATTATATGGTTATTTTATACTGATTATATTTTGAAAGCGATTTGATAATTGAAGTATTGCTTTCTTAAAGATCATAATTTCAAATTTATTTCAAATAAGAACTTAGATGAGTTTATATTTATAATTAATTGCTGGTTTTAAAAAACTAGTAAATCAAAATACTTGGTTTTATGCTGCTATGCCTTTTTTTTTTTTTTTTAACTTCGCGGTTTTGGACTTTTTTTTTTTTAAGTTTTGTTTTTTGTTTTTTTGTTTTTAATTGGGGAATTGGAACAGCACCGGGGAATTGGGTGAAGGGGAACAGACAAGTTGCTGTCCTTTTGTTCTTCAGTATAGTTGTGGAGGACATTGCTTCACTGGCCCAAATTGGCACCATCATTGCGCTCTTCCCAGGCGAGTCAGATCAGTCACCGGCTTCTGGAGGGCCGCTCACGCTGGCTGCTGGCTACTGGCTACACACGGTAGCCCATGGCAACCCACTGCAGCAGGGGCTGCAGCCTACGCCAACACCGGTGACTCACAGCAGCCCAGCTCCAGGTTGAGCTGTTGTTCAGCATCTTAGCTGTGGAGGGCAGCGTCACTGGCCCTCATATGTGGGATACAAACCGGGGCCCTCTGGCGTCCCAAATCAGCTCTTAACCAACACGCCACTCTGCTGGCCCTGCTATGCCATTTTAAATGACACCTTTATAAGAAAAAATAGAAAGCAGTAAAATGAAGTAATACTTGAGGAGTTTCACAAGTCTGAATCATTATTATGCCTTTTGATCTTCTTAGTAATTTAATTAAAACAAAATCAGCCTTAGTTTATGAAGCATTAGTGGACTTAAGAGTTTTCTATATTCTTTTCAGTAGCTTTAACTGTAAATACTTACCAATTTATAATTGGTATAATTAGGTATGTCATGACTTTTTTAAGGGTTCCAAGTGTAAAGACCATTTGTACTTTTTTCTCTGTGCATCTAGATCTTAAATGTTCCTAAAGAAACACCTGAATAAGTTTAAACAAATGTATTTCTAGTCTAGATATAGTGGAATCCATTTATGCACTTTTTATTCTTCCCCACAGACTCAGTATTCATTTAAACAAGTATTTGGTACTCATACCACCCAAAAGGAGCTCTTTGATGTTGTGGCTAATCCCTTGGTAGATGACGTTATTCGTGGCAAAAATGGTATGATTCTTGCAGTTTTGTTTGATTTTCTTTTTTCTCCTCTTCTCATATAAAACTTTTTTGATACTTAAATATTTGGTTTATATTCAGCCTTGAATTCAGATTGTTAGGGTGGTGTTAAACCTGCTTTTTTGAGCTGGTTAATTTTAAGTGTTTTTTAATGAAATGAAGAAATACTACAAGTGGACGACTTTTAAGATATAATCTGGTGTGACTTGCTCTGTTGTAGGTCTCCTTTTTACATATGGTGTGACGGGAAGTGGAAAAACCCACACCATGACTGGTTCTCCAGGGGAAGGAGGCCTACTTCCTCGTTGTTTGGACATGATCTTTAACAGTATAGGGTCATTTCAAGCTAAACGATATGTAAGTATAATTCTTTAGTGTTGTAACTGTTTCACTTGAGGACATAGGGACCAAGATACCTGTGGATACAGTAGTATTAAGGGAGAACTAATTGGATATATTAGCATTGGATACATTTTGAAACCTTAAATATATTTAAATAATAAATATTCATTTCTTAAATACGTTTCTTACTATTTAAGTCAAATTCTCAAAATCATGATCTGATTTTTGCCCCCACTTCAGGTTTTTAAATCTAATGATAGGAATAGCATGGATATACAGTGTGAAGTTGACGCCTTACTAGAACGGCAGAAAAGAGAAGCCATGCCCAATCCAAAGACCCCCTCTAGCAAGTAAGTAATTACATATGTATGCAACACTAGCCTAAAGGGAAACGCTGTTCCAAGGTTTCCTCAAATGTAGGAAATGGTGAACAGGAAGTGGAGAAGGTGATCTGACAGTTGACTTGAATGAGATCAAAGATGAAGAATGTTCTTAAATATTTGCTCGGATGTTTTGTGTTTTGGTTTGGGGGTGGTGTTTTTTTTTTGGTTTTGTGTTTTGAGCACACTGCCTTTGAATCACTGCTTAGAGAAGGTGCCACTCTAGGTCGGAGAGGGTATAAAAGCCCTGTGCTGTGTATCTGGGAGGACATGGGAGTATTGTTGGCCAAGTGTGATTGTGAATAAAGTTGCTTTGTGCATTTCTGCTTGTAATGGTAGGTCATCTATGTTGTGTCTTTTAGTTACCACCTTGGGATCATTTACTTTTGGTCTTGACTCAATGTATAAGATCAGACTTTGGCTTTTTTGTCCCCCTTTTTTCAGACGACAAGTAGATCCAGAGTTTGCAGATATGATAAATGTACAAGAATTTTGCAAAGCAGAAGAGGTTGATGAAGATAGTGTCTATGGTGTATTTGTCTCTTATATTGAAATATATAATAATTACATATATGATCTACTGGAAGAGATGCCATTTGATCCCATAAAGCCCAAGTAAGTAGCTGTTTCATCTTTGGGAACTCACTTCACTTCAGTGGGTCTTAGTTTTTTCAGCTATAAATGGTGACAATGCTTACTTTTGCATTCAAAATGAGATACAACTTGTATATCATGCAGTTGGTGCTCAATGAGTGATTTTATTATTAACTAGATGTGCAGGTATATTAGGGACCTAGTGTGTTAAGACATTAAGAAAGACCTGAATATTCATCTTAGACATTACTGTTGATAACTCTTGGCCCTGGGCTATATTTTAAGAAGGACCTTAATTGTATAAGGATGTGTCCCTACAGATGTGCCTTGGCGCTACCTTTCAAGAGCCTGACATTTAGTGTTGGGAGTTTGTAGCCATTTTAACCATCTATGTCTTGGTGATCTCTACAGAATGTAGGCTAAAGCTGTTGTCTGTAAAACTAATACTCACAGACCTCCCCTCATTGGTTAATATGAAGTAACATCTATATTGTCATTCTGCCAGAGTTAAAAGCCTACTCCTTAGATTTCTTTGGGTCTTGCCCTACTGAGAATGAAAACCGATTATAACCTAGCATCACAAACAATAAATCTGCATTTCTGCCAGAACCAACTCTGGAATCTCCTCTCTAATGTTAATATCTTGTTCCTGAGTTGATGGTTTTCTTCTTAAATGCTTATTTTCAGTGCCCTCTTCGTTAGGGCCTCTCAGGACATAATATGAAGACCTGTGTTTTATATTTAACTTTCGTGTGTATGTCTAATCCAACATTATTGGAGAAACAGCTGGATTTAGAAAACGATTAGACTGTGAACAGATGTCAGTATATCCAGTTTTATTTACATTAAACAGTGTATAGACTACTTTCCCATTTGTTTCAAAGTGTCAGTTCTGTATACCCATATTCCTAAACTTTTGTGATGTCATTCATTGCTACCAACATGTGCCAAGTTTCTGTTTGGTTTGCTCTCAATGAGATTATTTTCAAAGGAGCTTATTATCTTGGTTTATTTAGTTGCACAAAAGGACTGACAAATACCACTTGTGTGCCTTGTAACCTTTCTGGTAACTCTTTGAATGAATTCACAGAGTACTTATTTGGCACTGAGATCAGATTTAATTTGTTAGAGTGGTGTATAACCTGCTTTTTTGAGCTGATTAATATTTAGTGTTTTTCTAATACAATGAAGAAATAGTACAAGTGGAGGATTTTTAAGATAGGACTTATTGTGACTGTCACATACTCTGGACTGAACATGTTGCTGTGAGATGGCTGCTGTAGAAACAGTCACTTGTAACTTATACCTTATTCCTTTGGTAGGTGGAACAGTTGCAGCACGCCCATGAGGAACACAGACTTTGTGTATGTGATGGCGTTGGCTCTTTTCTTAAGGAGAAGGGTGCAGTTAAACTAGTGTTTGGCATCTGTGGCATGTTTGCATGTGGGTGGTTTTTTAATTGGCACTGGGCTGATTGCTACCTATGAGCCCCCTGCTTGCTTCCTGAAAAATCTGTCATTTACTGACTGATGGTGCGTGGTAAATGTTTCTGCCCCCACCATTTACAACACAGGCCAAACAGACAGCACCCTTTCCCATCCTTAGCTTACCATACAGATTAAAACTTGACCAGCCACTTTGGAAGGATTACCACTCCTAGTATACACCAAACTCTTTCTGAATTTGTTTTTTGCTGACACTGAGGTCAGAACCAGCTCTATCTGTTGATCTTTTAAAATTAGGAAAATGCCAGATTTGATGCTTAACCTATGCATGTGATGTTGCTATACTACTTTGATCTCTAATTGTTTATTAAGTGTTGTTTCGTGTGCTTTGCCAGAACAAATTAGAGCAAAACTTTTAAAACAACAGGTTCCTGTTATCCTGTCATGTAACTAACATTGACTGTATATCCTGATAGTTATCTGTTTAGCATTTTTCTGAGATCTTGCTTAGGCTTATTCCATTTCTAAGAATGGATGTCATGTTTGGAATTTTAGCCCTAGTCTTGAGATATTAGTAACTCATAATTTTGGAAACTAATGTTTTTTTTTCTTTCCCATAGACCTCCACAATCTAAACTGCTTCGTGAAGATAAGAACCATAACATGTATGTTGCAGGATGTACAGAAGTAGAAGTGAAATCTACTGAGGAGGCTTTTGAAGTTTTCTGGAGAGGTTAGAGTGAAAATTGGAAAACTATAAAATGATATACTTGACACCAGTACCTTTTGGTTTAGTAGAAAGCATGTACACAGAAATAGCTGAGTTCAAGTTTGATCCATGATTTTTCTGTCATAGGCCAGAAAAAGAGACGTATTGCTAACACACATCTGAATCGTGAGTCCAGCCGTTCCCACAGTGTGTTCAACATTAAATTAGTTCAAGCTCCACTGGATGCAGATGGAGACAATGTCTTACAGGTAAAGTAGTGTATGGAATTTTTCTTGTTCTAACTGAATCCCTAATTTTTGGAATTAGAGTTAAATAAGGGAGGTTTCATTGCAATGAAGATTGCACTAGAATTAATATATGTGTAGGTCATGACTTTACTTGTTCCAATAGATAGTATAGTTTTGGAAAACTGGCTGTTGAAACTTAGAACCTGGAATTTTGCTGTGAAAAACATTTACAAATCTTTATAAATCTCTTTAATAGAGATAAAATAGAAGAATGTGTGATTCATTGTTTTATCTCTGAGGACTCACTTTGCATGTGGAAATTCAGTTAATGGTTTTAAAATGTCAGCAATTAACTTTCCAGGGTGGGTACAGTTCAGGAGATGGCCAATTCTAAATTGTTCTTCTCTTGGCTGAGAGGCCAGCAGGGCGCCCCCGTTGATCACCATTTACTATTGGGCCTGTCACGCTACAGGGCTTACATCAATTAGTAACAGCATTTGAGCCCAAATATGAATCATTTAATAACTTTAAACTATTGGGTTGTTGGAAAAGTCATGACGCATTTTTGCAGCGAAAAACATAGAAAAAAATACGTCATGACTTTTCCAACAAACCAATATTAAAGTGTAATTTTATTCAAAACATATTATGAAATTGTGATATCATGAAGATTTCCAGATGGCAGGAAGATATGGTACATCATGGTACTGAAGACCACCAGGAATCAAATTCTGATTAATTTACTAACTATCTGACCTAACTAACAAACTCCTCATAATGCTGAGAAGATTAAAGGAGGTAGTGCATGTAAAGGTGAGTCCAGTGTTTGGCTTATATATAGTCAGCACTCAATAAAAGATAGCTAGAAAATGCTTATAAGTCAAGCTTCCACATACACTTGATTTCCTTTTAATCACATTGACTATTACAATATCAGTTATGTACCTCTTGACTTTCATTTCTTAACATTATTAGCATATTATGAAATTATTAAATATCTGATTATAGAAAAATTTAGGATAGCTCTGTTCTAGACTGACTATTTAGTAGCTATTTATTGAGCTACTGCTGAGTGTTAGGCCTTGTGCAAGGTGCTGGAGATAAAGTCGTTAAAAGGCAGAATTTCTGCTCTATGGAACTATCAGTATAATGTAGAAGACCAGACAGTGTGCAAGTAATCATTAATGTCATGAGTGTATTTATCATATGCTTTTAGCAAACTCTTCCCCCAAAACATGTATCCTTTGCTCTATTGGTACAGTTTGTATTGTGCAAATATTATATTCATAATACAATAATTTGAATATATTTAAAGAGCATTGTGAACTAGTTATAGCTCATGTTATGTTATTGGCATTATGATCTTCCCTTCAGGAAAAAGAACAAATCACTATAAGCCAGCTGTCCTTGGTAGATCTTGCTGGAAGTGAAAGAACTAACCGGACAAAAGCAGAAGGGAACAGATTACGAGAAGCTGGTGAGTGAAGCATAGTACTTAATTTATTGCTGCAATTTTCAAAAACTTGCAATGCCAGTTTATCATCTGCTTATTGATGCAGTTTAAGCATAATTGTCTTCAATTTCATAATTTAGAGGCTAAGTTTAATGGTCAATATTGTTCCTTCAGTTATGCTGGTTTGGTATCACTCTATTACAGTATACTTATTTCTTTAAGAACATGGAAAAATGACTAAAATAAATATAAGTTATATTCATAGTGAAAGCGCCTGTTATATCTATTGCTGGTATTGTTGGTACTGGGTCCTTAAAGTGAAATTAACAGTTACTCCAACATTCATAGTGGTAAAAATCAGCTTCTGGAGGTGGGAAAGATCTTTGAACGCAAGAGCCAAGTGAAAGGAAATCTGTTTTGTTTTATTATTTTTAATGTTTCCTTTTGTATAGCCATTGAAGTTTTTATTTTTTTATTTTTTTAAAGATTTTTATTGGGGAATTGGGGGATGAGAACAGACAAGTTGCTGTCGTTTTGTTCTTCAGTCTAGTTGTGGAGGACGTTGCTTCACTGGCCCAAGTTGGCACCATCATTGCGCTCTTCCCAGGCGAGGCAGATCAGTCGCCAGCTTCTGGACGGCCGCTCACTGTGGCTGCTGGCCGCTCACGCAGGCCGCTGGCTACACATGGTAGCCCATGGCAACCCACTGCCACAGGGGCTGCAGCCTACGCCGTCGCCGGCGACTCATAGCAGCCCAGCTCCAGGATGAGCTGTTGTTCAGCATCTTAGCTGTGGAGGGCAGTGTCACTGGCCCTCATATGTGGGATCCGAACCGGGGCCCTCTGGCGTCCCAAGCCAGCTTTTAACCATCGCGCCACTCGGCCGGCCCAAGGAACGAATTCTTAATGTACTTTTAGAGTCTATGTAGGTGAGATCTCCTGCATTATTGGAGGCTTGATCAATCTGTCAGACTCACCTTGATCCAGAAATCCAAACAAGAGTGGTCAGAAGGAACAAGTATGCCACCTAAGAAATCCTTATTTAAATGTAGAGGGGACAGAGTTAGCTGGATCCTAAGACACTTGACTGTTAGAAACAGGAGCCCCTCTGGGTGCAGGGGAGAGAGACTTCATGTCGATGGAGCTAACTGTAGCCTGAAATGGGTCATGCTTTAGACATAATATTTTAATATAAGGATAATAAACATCTATATCCAATATGCTCTTTAAAAGAATTTAAGATTTGGAAGAAACTTTATGGGTCATGAAGTGCAATGTTGCATTCAGCAGAGTCCTTTTGATAGAGTCCTTGAAGGATAGTATTTAACCTCTCCTGAAACACTGCTATTAAAATACTCCTGAAATACTACCAGACCATACTTAGACAGCTCTTTAAATTGAGTCACTAAAATCTGTTATTTGTAATTTCCATCTAATACTTCTATAAAGTAAAGATTTTATAGGCAAACGGACCACATCTAGCTATCTATTATTTTCAGCTGTCTTTGTACATTTTTCTCTCAGGTAACATTAACCAGTCACTAATGACACTAAGAACATGTATGGAAGTCCTGAGAGAGAACCAAATGTATGGAACTAACAAGGTAAGCAACAGCCTTTCATCATTTGTATAGCTTTGGGTGTTCTTTTTACCTTATGTATTCATTTGGATTTGAATGTATTTATAGATGGTTCCATATCGAGATTCAAAGTTAACCCATCTATTCAAGAACTACTTCGACGGGGAAGGAAAAGTCCGCATGATCGTATGTGTGAATCCAAAAGCTGAAGATTATGAAGAAAGCTTGGTAATTTTAATGGATTTATCCTATACAATACAATCTTAGAGTTTCTGCAGAGCAAACAACTATTTGGGTGTGAAGAATGACATTTTGAACATTTTTTAAATTGATACAGAACCATCAGTTACAGAAATAAACTGATGACCAATTTATTGTTTCATTTAGTAAATTCTGAAGGGCTTGGATATATTTATTTGTTTAAAAAAAAAAAAAAAAGAAAAAGAAAAAGAAACCCAAAACTCCATTTGTTTGTTTTATATCTTAGCAAGTCATGAGATTTGCGGAAGTGACCCAAGAAGTTGAAGTAGCAAGACCAGTAGACAAGGCAATATGTGGCTTAACGCCTGGACGGCGGTACAGAAACCACCCTCGGGCAGGTCCAGTTGGAGATGGTATGATTTGGTGTTAGGTCATTTGCCCACTGATTAGTCTTCTCTCCCTCTCCCTCTCCCCCCT